TGATTATTAATAGGCTTTCTTTTACCCTGAAGACTGTTCAGGGAATTTGCTTTAGCAAGTTCTGAAACAGATCCACTTGATTTATGACCTAAGTGGTGATAGGAATCAGTGGTGAGGTGAAAGGATGTCATTTAGTCAGTGATGTTGGGACAGAAAGAAATGAGATGGGCCTTGATCTCACACTACAAATATTCATTCCAGGGAGACTAGAGACTTGAAAAATAAAACTTTAAAACTTATAAAATATAGGACATTATCCATATGACCTCTGGGAGAAGGTAAGGGAGATTTCCTAGGGGATAAACCATAAATTAATGGGAGTAGAATTGTGGTTGCCAGGGTCTGGGGAAATAGGGAGAGGTTGGTAAGAGGGTACAAACTTCCAGTTACAAGATGAATAAGATCTTGGGGAGCCTTGGTGGCTAGTCAGTTGAGCATCTGACTCTTGGTTTCAGCTCAGGTTATAATCTCAGTGTCGTGAGATCAAACCCCCTTATCAGGGGGGTGAGGGTGGGGTCCTTGCTCAGCAAGGAGTCTGCTTGGAGATTCTCTCTCTCTCTCTCTCTCTGTCTCTGTCTCTCTCTGTCTCTTTCCCTCTGCCCCTCCCCACCAATAAATACAATTTTTTTTATTAAAAAAGGTAAATTAATTCTAAGAAACTACTGTTAACATGTGACTATAATTGATAAAACTGTGTTACATAACTGAACTTTTCTGAGAGTAGAAATAAAGTGTTTTACAAAAAAAACCCCATGAAAAACAAGTGAATACATGATGAGTTAATTAACTCAATAGTGAGAATCCTTTCACAGTGCATGTGTATATCAAATCATCATGATGTATACTTTAAATATATGACAGTTTTATCAGTTATTTCTCAATAAAGCTGAAAATTGTGAAAAAAAATTATAAATTATAAGATTATACTGACATTAAATAATTTTTTTTACAAATAAGACATTATAAACAATGTAGGGAAAAAAGCCTGCATGTTGAGAGAGGAGATTTGTAACACATGTAAAACTAAGTTTGAGTAAACAGAATTCCTGAATATTAACCAAAAGCCAAAAAACAAACAGCACACAGGCAGTATAAGAAAATGACAAAGGATATTAACTGACCTTTTACAGAATAAGAATGTGAGATAACTAGTGATAATGTAAAAAAGATTCTTAGTTTTACTAGTACTCATGCTTATAAAGTTGAAAATGTGCATGTCTTTCATCATAGCAATTCCACTTCTACATATAGACGAGCACTGGATGACATTGGTAAGAGTATTCATTTCAGGATTTTGTATAATAGTAAAATAATTTACAACAATCTAAAGTTGTTGGAAACTAAATTCTAGAATAAGGATAACTGATAAATTTGGTCTATGAAAATATTCCATATAGCAATTAAAACTAACATACTAGAACAATGTATGTCAATGTGGGTAATGTGTTTTAGAAACAATATTAGAATAAAACTACGTTTCAAAAGTTACACACAGTTTGGCATCAATTATAAAGTTTAAAGAGATTCAGAAAAAGACATAGTCTCATGGTTGTGTGTGTGTACACACACACATACACATTATATACTAATATAAAATACGTGTAGGTATAGTAAATGCCAGGGCAGCGATTGCTAACCTGTGGGGAGTGGATGAAGGGGATAATATGGAAGGGTAATGGGATACTTGAGGAGTGTCAATACAATGCTGTTAAATAATTTCCATTTCATCACTTATTATTTGTTATAAATACAATTTATTTGTCTAAGTTTTACTACTTCCTATTTTCAAATAGCCTAAAATATTATTGATGATTATGAATCCTTTCAGTTTTCCTTTTCTGTAATTTATTTGGTCTTCTTTAAAATCTGAGAAATATGCCAGTAGCAGTATGTGTAGTGACTATATAGCTTAATATTTTAAAAATAAAGAATAAAATCCACTTTTTACACTCATCTAAAAATAGATTAATTTCTAAGATGCCTTCTAGAAATAAAATATACTTCTTCTTTGATGTTTCCAAACAACAGAAATATCTTTTTATGTATATACCATTCTGACAGTGGGGTAAATTCAAACATTGAGGATAATGAAGCCAATTTCCTATAAAAGTTGTTATTTTCAGTTCATCTATCTGCCTTTTTTTGTTAAGCATCATCTGTCATCTTCAAGAGATGTCACCAAACTTTTTCTGTAAAGGGCCAAGTAGGAAATCTTTCAGGCTTTGAAGGCCACGCTGTCTGTAGTCATAACTACTCCATTCTGCTATTGTAGTGGGAAAGCTGCCATAGATAATACTTATAAGTGAATAGATGTGACTTTATTTACAATAAAATTTTACTTACAAAAATGGAAAGTGGTCTGGGTTTAGCCTCTAGGTCAGCTTTTGCCAATTTATGATGTATAACACACAGAAATTCCTTCAATAATACCCTCTTATTGCAGATGGGAAAATGGAGGCATAGAGACCTTAGGTATCATTCAGATTAAAGGACCCTAACCTAAGGAGACATACCTACAGAAATGTCACCATGGCTAATGTCAGAGAGATTACTGCCTATGTTTTCTTCTAGTTTTATGGTTTCAGGTCTCACATTTAGGTCTTTAATCCATTTTGAGTTTATTTTTGTGTATGGTGTAAGAAGGTGGTCCAGTTTTGTTTTTTTGCATGTAGCTGTCTAGTTTTCACAATGTTTACTGAATAGACCATATTTTTCCCCATTGTATATTCTTGCTTCCTTTGTCGGAGATTGATTGGGTATATAAAATTAGGTTTATTTCTGGGCTCCCTATTCTGTTCCATTGACCTATTTTTGTCCCAGTATCATACTGCTTTGATTATTAAATCTTTGTAATATATCTTGATTGTGATACCTCCACCGTTGCTCTAGATATGTCTCCTCAAGGAAGGGAAACAAAAGCAGGAATAAACTTTTGGGACTACATTGAAACGAAAAGCTTTTGCCTAGCAAATGAAACCATTAGCAAGATGAAAAGGCAGCCTATTAAATGGGAGAATATATTTGTAAATGATATATCCAGTAAGAGGTTACTATCCAAAATATATGAATAACTCCTATAACATTATAACAACAGAAAACCCAAGCAGTCTAATAAAAAAAAATGGACATAAGACTAAATAGACTTTTTTCAAAGGGAACTTCAAAATGGCCAACAGGTACATGAAAAGATGCTCAACATCACTCATTAGGGAAATGCAAATCAAAACCACAATGAGATGTTACTGTATACCTGTCAGGATGGCTAGGATCAAAAAGACAAGAAAAAACAGGTGTTGGCTAGGGTATGAAGAAAAAGAAACCTCATGCATTGTTGGTCGGATTTGTATATTGGTGTAGCCACTTTGAAAAACATCATGGAGGTTCCTCAAAAAAAAAAAAAAATTAAAAATAGAGATACCTTATGATCCAGCAATTCCATTCCTGAGTACTTACCCGAAGAAAACAAAAACACTAATTTGAGAAGATATATGCACCCTTATGTTTATTGCAGCATTATTTACCAAGATAAGGTAGCAGCCACAGTGTCTATCGATAAATGAATGGACAAAGAAGGTGTGTGTGTGTGTGTATAAGTATGTACGTATATGTGTATATATACACACACAGTGTAATATTAGCCTTAAAAAGAATATTACTTTGCCAATTGTGACAACATGGATGTACCTAGAGAGTATTGTGCTAAATGAAGTTAAGTCAGAAAAAGACAAATACTATGTGATTTCATTTGTATGTCGGTCTAAAAAACAAAACTAATGAACAAAGAGGAAAAAAAAACAAAAAAAGTAGACTCTTGAATATAGAGAACAGACTGATGGTTGTCAGAGGGGAGGTGGGTCAGGAGATGGGTGAAATAAGTAAATGACATTAAAAAGTACAAACTTCTTAGTTATAAAATAAATAAGTCAAGGAAAAAGATGAGAAAAGATGACCCTAGCCACATGGTAATAGAATTCTTTTTGTGTATGTGATGTTCATAGAAGATTCTTTATTTTTCTCTACATGCAGAATATGTGGAGAGGGCTTAACCTTTTAATTTTTCAGAATCAATCTTTAGATTGTGATTAGAAAACACTTTGATGGGTCTTCTTTAAAGGAATCATTTTATGTATTATTTTACTAAGGTTTACACCCCTTTTCCTTCAAATGTAGAAACATTCCTTCAAATGTAGAAACAAATACAAAAACTGGTGTGATTTAATTTGTTAATTAGATTTGGATATCTTACATTTGAATTAACATCTATAAATAGCTTTATAGAACATAAATACTATTAAGCAGTTGTGTCAGTTGTATTTCAAAATTAGCTTTATGAAGCAATTTCTTTGCAATTTGACCTGAAGCAATTGAAAATTTATTTATTTATATTTATGTTCAAGGTCTAAGAAGTGTATTTTTCCCTCTCCAATTTCATGGGCTAGAGGAAAGTATGTTTTGTGTGTATCAAGTAATTATGGCTCTTCTCTGTATACAGAAAGTAGGCCTACTGTGATCTTATTGGAATCTGTGCAAATCTAAATTAATATAAATCAATTTAATCTGAATGAAACCTGCAGAAAACGGGCAACTGGGTGGCTCAGTTAGTGAAGTGTCCAACTCTTGATTTTTGTCTCAGGTCACCATCTCAGGGTTGTGAGACCAAGCCCTGTGTTGGGCTTTACACTGAGGGTGGAGCCCGCTTAAGACTTCTCTTCTTCTCCCTCTGTGCCCTGCCCTCCCTTTCTTAAAAACAAAACCAAAAACCTTAAAAGACAAAAAACTGCCAAAAAGCTTTTTATCTCCAGAAAACTGAAAGTGCATGTTTCAAAGAAAGTTTCCATATGGATCAGAGCCAGGATTTGAACCCATAACATAGTCAAATAGGTGTTCTTAGAGTATTAATTTTAAAAGAAGTTGAGATTTTCAGGCTAATTTTTATCTTACCAAGTAAATGGTTATATTTATTTTTCTCAACTAAAAATTGAATGTGTCTGTCTTTTCAGGGACATCAAACCAGACAATATATTGATGGATATGAATGGACATATTCGATTAGCAGATTTTGGTTCTTGTCTGAAGCTGATGGAAGATGGAACGGTAAATAAAGATAAATCTTAAGCCATTTTACCAACAGATAATTCTGTTGCTACTTGTCTTCTCTGTTTTAGAAAATGTCTATTTATGTTACCTATCATCCATCCATCCATCCATCCATCCATCCATCCATCCATCCACTTGTCTTTCTATGCTCCAACTTTTCCTACAATGGCTTTTAGGCATACTTATTCATAGTAGGGTTTGTTTATAAAGTCCTATGCCATTTTTCATTCTTATATTAATGAGCTTAAGATTGATACGTGTATCTTTTATGAGAACTTTGTTTCTTATTTATCTGAACTGTTTGTTACTGTACTTGAAATATTGTCATTTTTAGAGAGGTGAAAAAATAAGTCCCAGTCGGAAAAAGAAAATGTGGCTTCTTCTTCACCTTTATTTTTTAGATTTTTCTTTCTTAGTTGTCAAGTTTTTTTGAGAGATAATATTCAACAAGTGAATGCTTTCATCAGAACACTCTCAACATTGATTTAGTTTTACATTCCCATTTGTTTTTAGTTCTACTAACCCTGGGTCCCTCATATAAATGTAAAAGATTATATGCCCCAATTTAATTCCCTGTTTTGTTTTTACTTCAGTTTCCTGGCTGTATAACAGAGGTCCAAATAGATATAATTTCACTTGGCAGAAACTATTTTGGAGAGCAGTTTAGCATAATACATTCCAAAGGCCATGAAAATGTCCTATTATTTTGGACCAGTAATTTGACTTCTGAAAATTCATCTTAAGGAGATAAACTTAAAAAAAAAAAACAGATTATGTAACTTTTGCCTCTGGCCATGATGAGAGGAGTAATTGGTACCAAATTGTCCTCTCACTATGAACAACTGTAAAACTGTACATAATATTTGGGACAGCTGTTTTCAGGCAGTGGAAAATAGGCAACATAAGACTGTTATCTTTAAGAGAAATGTATCCATGAGATATACCTTACAGTTTCCCAGGACAGGGGCAGTTTGCAGACTTTATGCAAAAAGCTAGAGTTAGAGCCAAGGGTAGCAGTCCTCCAGAGCTGAGGGGGAAGACATCAGGCCCGACTTAGTTGTTAGTCTGTAGCTCTTAATATTGGAGAAGAGGAAGTTGTTCAGAGAGAGGGCCCTGAAGTGTGCCGATGGGGCTGTCTCCTGAAGATTGGTCTGTGGATATGCAGTATAAGACATAAGATGTACCAAATAATAGATACTGTGCATCTGAAAATTGAACAAGTTGCTGAAAGTCAAGCAGTGCTGGAGGAGACATAGCACGTGGGGACACTGGGGTTTTGGCTGGAGAGCTATTTAACACCTTTATAACATGTGAGACTTACTCTAAGCCTAACAGTCTAAATCCAAGTCCTGATAAAATTCACCGAGTTTGAAAAGTGGTCCTCCAAGTCAGGGGGATTGAGATGAATCTTAGCATTTCCACAAAGGTGCCCCAAAGAGTGTAATTGTAAGCTAACCCTTATTCAAGGAGATCAGGTGGTGGTTTTTTTTTTTTTAAATCTGCTTCAATGATAATTGAGGATCTTCAGTGGAAGACAACAGTGTCCATCCTCTGAATAATTCTGTCAATGACCAACGTTTAATCAGAAATCACCAGATCAAACAAAAATGAGGATAGGATGGAGATTGTAATACAGACTTAAAAAATAAAAGTAGTCAGTAGAAACTTTGGTAGCACAGATGTTGAATTTAGCAGACGGAGATGTAATGAAGCTATCATAAATGTGTTTTTTTAACTTATTTTTATTTATTTATGATAGACTTAGAGAGAGAGGCAGAGACACAGGCAGAGGAGAGGGAGAAGCAGGCTCCATGCCAGGAGCCCGACGTGGGACTCCAGGATCGCGCCCTGTGCCAAAGGCAGGCATGAAACCGCTGAGCCACCCAGGGATCCCCAAATGTGTTTTTTTAAAAATAAATATCGTTAAGGAATCAAAGTATAGTCTTAAAGATGGCTCAGAGAAGGAATCTCAGAAGGAGAAGAAATCAAATGGACCTTTTAGAAGTTGAAAAGTTTAATAATAGACCTAAAAAACTCACAGAAGTAGGTTAACAACAGATTAGAAATAAGAGAAGAAAGTGCCAGTGAGTTTGAAGAAAGGTCATGTGATGATCCAGTCTGAAGAAGACAGAGGAAAAAAATTGAAGCAAAATACAACTAGGCTCAGGGAGCTGCATTATTTGCATACCAGAAGGAAAAGAGAATGAAACAGGAGCAGCAAAATTTGTAGGATTGATGGCTCAGACTTACCAAATATGATGAAAAACAGAAATGTAAGTATATCTTAGTATACCTCAAGGTTAAAAGAAACCACACTTGTCCACAATTAAACTCCTGAGAATTAAAGGTAAGGGGGGGAAAAATGGAAAGCAGCCAGAATTAAAAACCTATTATATACTTTGGGGAAACAATAAGGATAACCATAGGTTTCTCATCAGAAATAATGAAATGGTATCTTTAAAGTCATGAAAGAAAAAAAAATCTGTAAACCAGGAATTTTATGTCAAAAATATTCTGAAATGAAGGTGCATAAAAGACTTTCAGTTAAATTAAAGAGACTAATCTCCAGCAGGCTTGGATGCTAAAAATGTTCTTTAATCCAAAGGAAGGGATACCATTTGAATACTTAGATCCCTAGGATAAAGAATATCAGATATGATAAATAAGATCTGGAGGATAAAGAGAAGACTCTCATCTTTTCTTCAAAATGTACATAAAAGCCATCTGATGGGTGTGAAAAGCAAAAATAATCACACCATCAGGTGGGGTTATGATACTTGTAGAAGCAGTAACACAAACAGTGTAAACTGTGTCTATGGAACTGTACTGCTTTGGGACACCTGTGTGAATGTGAAGCGTCAGGTGGGCAGCAGATAACAGCAGGTATGACGTGATAAGGGAGAACTTGGCGAGCTGAGAAAACACAGAGTCAAGTCAGGGAGGCTGTGGCATCAGGAAGTTTGGGATCAGGATTCTGTAGAGCAGAGTGCTAGACTGAAGAAGAATTCTAGGGGAAGAGCTAGTGTTTCCCGAGTCCTGCAGGTCGTATGCACCATACACTCAAAAGCTGGGGCCCTTCTCCTAGAGTCTAGTAGGCAGGCAGCCTTCCTTCCAAATCCCCGTGCGTTCCAGAATGCAGTGAGGACTATGTCTGTAGGGGTTAACTTGATCCAGTTTGTTTGTTTGTTTGTTTGTTTGTTTTGGAATTTAATCTTTATTTATAGGACACTGTAAGATAGGAGATTCCACATAGAAATAAGAAAACCTGAGTGGCTCAGCAGTTTAGTGCCTGCCTTTGGCCCAGGGCATGATCCGGGAGTCCCGGGATCGAGTCCTGCGTCAGGCTCCCGTCATAGAGCCTGCTTCTCCCTCCTGCTGTGTCTCTGCCTGCCTCTCTCTCTCTCTCTCTCTCTCTCTCTCTCTCTCTCTCTCTTTCTCTCTCTCTCTATGTCTATCATAAATAAATAAATAAATCTATCTATCTTTTAAAAAAAAGAAATAAGAAACCCACTGAGAGGAGGAGCTTCATACAGTTTGTACAGTTCGGAACTGGTCAAGTATAGTTTCATTGTAAAAAGTGCTACAATAACAAAACACATTTAAAAAGAGTTCTTAGTAGAGAAACAATAAGACAAACTTCTACCAAACAGAGTACACAACAAACAACTTTCTGTCTCAGCTGTACAATCTAAAAGTTAAAGGTCCCAGGAGTGCCATCCTCAACTTGGAATGTAATAGCCTTCAGAGGTAGTTTTGGGTACAATATTCTGATCTTCCTCTTCCTCTACAGAGTAATACTTCTCAATCAAGTTTAATGAAGCTTTGTACACAGACTCATTTTCATGGTTTTGTAGAGCTTCAATTTTGTCCAAACCCCCACATTCTTCAATCATTAAGTTTCTCCATTTCATCTAGTTTCTCAGCAGCCTGAAAGATGTTTGAAATGGCATCCAGAATAACCAGAATAATTTTGGTATCTTTTGCAGTTAAGAGGTTCATTAATGGTTCTATTATGCCACAATGAACGAGATATACAATCTGTTCAACTGTTCCACCACTTGTATGGTTGGTCACAGCCCACACAGCTTCCTTTTGTGTCTTAAAGTCTGCCTTAGAACACCAATGAGGAATGGAACTAATCCATGATTCACAACTTGCTGTATCTGGTCCTGGTGACCAGCTGTGATGTTTGACATTGTCCATGTAGCTTCCTTCTGAATATTAGTTTTGGGGTTCGTTAGCAGGCTGGGAAAGACAGCAACAGCAAGTGCTCCTGCATCTATTACAACCTGAGTCTGTTCGTCTGTCCCAGTGACAATATTTCCTATGGCTCTTAGCGCAGGAGTCACAATGGGTAATTCAGTAGCTCCTAGAAGTGTCACAAGTTGGGGCACAACTCCTGTTTTCACAACCATTTCAATCCGTTCATTTGGACCATCAGTAAGGTAGGAAATGGCCCAGCAGGTATCTGCTAATACTTCTGGATCATCATGATGCAGGAGACGAACTAAGGTAGGAAGAATCTGTTCAACAGCATCTAACGGGGGTGCTGGATTCTTGTTGCGACAAAGGTTTTTAGAGTGTCCAAGTAAGGTTACGTAAGTAACCACGTGGTAAAGATGACATATCAGGAACTGCAAGGAGAGCCAACAGTGGGTCAACTGCACCATACTTGATAACAAAGTTTTGAAAAACTGAACCATCACCTACAATGTTTCCTAGAGCCCATACAGCTTGTTCACTGATGTGGGCATGGGAAGATGCCAACAGAGAAATGAATGCTGGGATAGCACCTCCATCTACCACAGCCTTGGTCTGTTCTGGTGTCCCAGAAGCAATGTTAGTGAGGGCCCAAGCAGATTCAAACTGAATAGGACTATAATCAGTTCTGCCCCAGAAGGACACAAATTTTGTAATCAAACCAGCCTGGATTATGTTGTCTGTGGGGGACTGTTTTTCCCTAGAAAGTTTCCTAGCAGCTTGAGTAGCCTGGAGTT